CAGCCGGGCCGGGTTTGCACCCGGTGTTGGTGGTTCCTCAGCACAGAGCGCGGTTTGGGTGTTTGCTCTCACTGCTCAGCCCCGACAACGAGAGAATGTGCGGGGAAGGAATGAATTCCGACAGTCTTTGTCTGTCTTCCTGTTCCTCTTCCCTACCAAGAAGAGGTGGGGCCTTCCTATCCCCTGTTATTCTAAATAGGCATGGTTTTCCTGCAGGCGTAGGCATTCGTGGGCATTAAAACTGCTGAAATCTCCTAAATCTGCGAGAATTTGTATTTTATTGAGTAGCAAACATGGTTATTTTTCATCCTTCCTAGCTCAGTTAGGAATCCTCGTGCAGGAGGATTCATGGGTGCAGCATTTGGAATACAGGTTATGATGGAATCCATGTTTGCCACAAAGCAGCAGATTATTTCACTTCTTTAGGTGGATAAGGCTCGGAATTATGCTTTTTCTGAGATTTATTCTGCACACATTCTGTTTTTTAGATAATTGTTGTGATTGATAGTACTGCATGTGAAAGAAAATGCTAGAGAATGGTAAATAAAAACTAACATCCTTCTTTCCTCTCTGCCTGTCCCTCGCTCTGGTTTCCAAGCAGGGCTTCCCACCCGGTTGTGATTTATCTTTAAAAGCACAATTTTCAGGAGAACGACTGGAAATTGGCCACGCTGGGCAGCTGGAACAACACTGTCACTGTGTGTGCGTTGTGGCTGCTGGCGCTGGGACGTGTTCAGTCCTGCATCAGCATTCCGTGCCATGCACTAATGCCAAAGGAATTGTTAACCTGCAGAAATAATCAAGATTTTAATGTATGGTTCACATTATAATAATAAATGTGAAATTAAGTGAACTGCAGAAACGAAACCCAAGTAGAAATCCAGGCAGAAATTATGTTCACAGCTGTAGAAATATGAGCAGTCTAAATTTAGTACAGAAGGTGATGTTTTTCAGGCTCTTTCCCACACTGTAAATGTGTTTGTGATCTCAAATGTGACATTAAAAGGAAGAAAAGTGCTGTGGATAAATCTTCCTGCAGGCCTAAAACTGAAATGCTTTATTGTCCATTGGTTGCAACATGACCAACGGAAGTTATTTTAATTGCAGATTTTATAGCTAAATGCCTATCAGAGAGTAGTAGGGAGGCTTAGAAGTTGTCCCTGTTGGCTTTTTTCACAAAGCAAAGGGTGAGGAGGGATCCGAATTTATTGTGAAAACCTGTAAGAGCCAGGAAAACCTAAATGTTAAACTAGAGGTACAAGAACCCCTTGAAATGGACTGATATTTTTATGTAGGCATGAGAAATGAGATCAGCATTAGTGCAGCTGAGCTGAGAGCTGTAAGTGCTTGAGGTGTTCTGCACCTTGACACCAACTTCTTTCTATTTTAAAGCAAGTAGAAGTGTCTCAGATGTCAGATTCAACTTCGAGTTGCTTAAGGCAGTTTCTGTCTTCTGCTGAGGAGAATTCGGTGTTTTCTGGTCTGTTCTGAAGGTGGTAGTTAGCCTGACATCAGTGGAAAGGCTTCATTGGTAGGGGACATTCAATTTCTGTTTGCAGGGTGAGTGTCTGTTTAGAGCCCTTCTGGTTAAAAGTTTCATCAGTGTTTGTTGTGTGTCTGTGGTGTAGAGAGGCAAATAAAGCCAGAATAGTACAGGATGTAAGCGTCAAAGTTAATGGTGCCCAGTGCCACTGTCTGTGTTTATCCCTTCAGTATGCAGAAAGCATTTTTGAAGAGCACAGTTACATTTGCAGTGGAGGGTAGTTTTAAACCTACAGCCCAAGAACTGGTCCTTCCTCTACCCTTGGCGTTCCTGAGCTTCCCGCAAGGAAGAGGGCGTGCAGTGTTCTGTCCCTGGTTAGATGGACTCTTCTGAAGGCTGCCTTCCTGATAAGGACCTGCTCCTGGTGGCTGCCAGGGCTCTCCTGTCTAGAACGTCCTGGGCAGTGTATTATGCAACCTGTCTCTCTGAAAGCGAGGTACTGCAGCTTTCCAGAAGGAAACATCTGTACTCAGATATCCTGTGTTAAGTACATTCAAATTCCCACAACGTAACCACACAATAAGACCTTGCCATTAAGGAGAAAAGAAAACAGACTGAAGAACAATCTCTTCCTACTTAAAAACCACAAAGTGAACATTTGTTTTCTTGCTGTTGCACAAACCTGGCGTTCTGTCACACAAGTCGAATGGAGAAACAATGTTGGGGTCTCTCTTCCTGACTCACTGAACTAGAAATACCAGGTGGTGAACTTCCTGCAGGAAAAGGAGCACTAAGGACACTTCATAGAATCGTAGAACCATGGAATGGTTTGGGTTGGAAATTCCAACCCCCTGCCATGGGCAGGGACACCTTCCACTAGAGCAGGTTGCTCCAAGCCCCTCTTGTCCAGCCTGGCCTTGAACACTGCCAGGGATGGGGCAGCCACAGCTTCTCTGGGCACCCTGTGCCAGCACCTCAGCAGAGCTCTGATTCTCTCTTGCACGGGAGTGAATTTGCTTCTCAAACACCAGCCTGCTTCTCAGATTGGTACCTGCCTTTGAATGTCTTTCCAGGTTGATGCTGGATTCATTCTGTTGTACTGGTCTGTTTTACAGAAATGGCACATTGGTGATGTTCTAAGATGTTTGTCTGCAACTTTCTTTCAGGTGAACGGGTGCTTTGTTTTCATGGACCTCTCCTTTATGAAGCAAAGGTATGTGTGCTCGCTTGCTGCTGCAGGTGCTTCTTACTGCTCCCCAAGAGAGTAAGGAATACCTCACTAGATTGGATTAAGGACTGAAACTAAAATGAATGAAAACCTGGTAATGTAGAAAATAAGTTTTAAATCCTGGAGCTCTGTATTATTTCAGAAAACCCAGTGGTTACTATGCAGCTATGCAGGTGAACTGCTAAAGGCTGGGTGGGCTTGTGTGCTGAACATCCTCTAAACCTGTGTTCCCAGAATGCTGGGAAGCATTTGTGCCCATAGAATGTGGTGCTGGTGCTAATGCATGAGCTAGTAAGCTGCAGTTTGAGCTTCCTCAGAGGTGTAGGTGGCTGAGTACCATCAGTGGGCTTCACTGGGGACCACAGTGCAGAAGATAAGCCAGCTGTGTCCTGGGCTGCATCAAAAGAAGGGTGACCAGCAGGTTAGAGGAGGTGATTGTGTCCCTTGGCTCTCTGAGACCCCGCTTGGAGCAATGTGTGCAGTTCTGGTATCCTTAACATAAGGACATGGAGCTGTTGGAGCAAGTCCAGAGGAGGCCACGAGGATGATCGGGGCTGGAGCAGCTCACGTATGGAGATAGGCTGAGAACATTGGGGCTGTTCAGCCTGGAGAAGAGAAACTGCATGGAGACCTCAGAGCAGCTTCCAGTGTCTGAAGGGGGCTACAAGGATGTCAGAGGGTAGGGACTATAGTGATAGGAAAAGGGGCAATGGGTTCAAACTGAAACAGGGGAGGTTTAGGTTAGATACAGGGAAGAAATTCTTTACTGTGGTTGGAATAGGCTGCCCAAGGAAGTTGTGATTGCTCCATCCCTGGCAGTGTTCAAGGCCAGGTTGGACACAGGGGCTTGGAGCAACCTGCTCTAGTGGAAGGTGTCCCTGCCCATGGCAGGGGTTGGAGCTGGAGGAGCTTTAAG